GGCTTTGCGTAAAGTTTGAAACTCTGAGGCAAAAGAAGTTCTCAGATCCTGAGGAGTATGTAACAAGCTTCACATTGGGACCTACAGCTCATTACAATGGAGGACACCCCTATTAGACGCTACATCGAGAAATTTGATTATAGAGAAATTAAAATAAAGAGAGATGAGAAAAAAGGACAAAAGTTTTCTCAAAAAAAGGCGTCAAACTACCAAAACAAAAATCTATATTTTTTTCACTTATTAGAACATCCGTAATATTACCTTCTAGCAGCTCATGTTTGAGTTAAACAGCACACAGATTTTATTTCTCTGTTAATGATACTTTGCAAACAGAGCAGAAAACAGTGTGCAGGTTCACTGCGACAACGAACAACAGTGATTCTGCTCTAAAAAAAAAAATAATAAATTCTTAATGATTGATCATCATTACCCATTTTCTGATATAAACATAAAAAAACCTCTAGATACAGGACTCTTTAGTTTGTCTATGTATTTGTGTACAGTTTTTAAAGATTTGGAGACTAGGTAAGAAAGAGGGAGCATGTCGTCGAATGCACAGCTAGAAGGGAACTTTTTAATGCAACATTAGAAAAGAAAACAAACAAAACGTATTTTTTAATTTCACCTTACTGCAATGTCTGCATTCAGCCTATTAGAAACTCATTCGGTCTCATTTGTTGATAGTGAAGTGGGTTTTGTGATCCATTTGCACAATCTTCCTACCTCCTTAACATACCTGTTGCCACGGTTACTTTCTACCCTATTTTACGTTTCAATCACTGCAACTAGGCTATCATATTAATAGGCACTTCACATGGACCTGAAGACTCATGGACAGTCGTTACAGACCTTCAACAGAGTATCTGTTCTCCAGCTGGTGCAGATCCGGGAGGATGTGCATGCAGTTGATGCAGCAGTAAGTGAAAAAGTCCAGCAGCACCACTTTACCGGCCAGTTCCTTGCTCAAAGACAGGGGCGCCTCTGTGTTCAGCCACTCCAAGCCTGGAGGAAATAACAGGAAACAACAAATTATTTACCATTTGAGGAGAAGAAAACATAGATATTGGACTTTAGACTCAAACCAAACATTTACAACTTAATAAATCATCTCAATCACTTCAAATGTTATGTATTTCTATTACACTATTTAAATTAAATAGACTGTGCTTCAGAAACTTTAAAGGATGCAACCAAAGTAGTAAGAGGTAAGCTTTAGGGCTTAACTGTCAACGTAACTCCTTCCCATGATGATTTATAAAAGGGGTCCATTCTCTAATAAAATGTCAGTAAAAAGAAAAACTAAAGTAAATAGTTATTTTTCTTTTTTCTATTCTCTTTTGTTTTGCATTGTTCTAACTTTTTTTTAGATACTTATCTGATTTTCTATCGTGAAAACATCTTTGATCAATACAAAACATTATCTTTCCGAAACCGACAAACCTCCAGCTGTAAAACCTGACGGTCTATGATTGAATCACACACTCCTTTTGCATCCCTATAGCAATGATAAAGCCCTCCCCCTCTTTACTGATCCTGGGACAGTCTGTCCTATAGATGTGTCTGCTGCTTCACTGGTCCATAACTAACTCACTGTGACTGAAAGCTTGATCTTTTGTCTGCTGGAATTTAGCTGGTGTGATAAGGACAGAGCTGCGGTTGATGGTGAAAGGTAGATTCAGCTACAGCAGTAACACAATGATAAAATCTCACACACTACAACATTACTAGACTGGATCCTTCATTGAACCATGATGTTTTAAATCACACCTTGCAGTTTGCTTTTCAAAGCAAAAACAACTCGCACCCAGAACTGAAACACATGATGGAAAAAATATGCAACTAATTTGAACATTTTTAAGAAAGTTAACTGCAGGGAGTGGCGGTCTAGTGGGCATAGAGCTCGGAATCCTGAGGTTCTGAGTTTGAGCCCCACTTCCACAGACTGCCACTCTGGGTCTCTGAGCAAGACCCTTAACCCCACACTGCTCCCTGGGCGCCCCACGATGGCAGCCCACTGCTCCCCAAGGAGATGGGTTAAATGCAGAGGTAAAGTTCTCCAATGTGAGATCAATAAAGTTCAATTATCATTATTATTATTAAAAAGAATTACTAGATGAACTGACCGATGCAAAAGTTTAGGAAGGTACTAATTTTGAATCCTACTGTAGGACGCATTGATGTATTTGAGGCTTTTGTATGACTTTAGAGGACCTGAGGGGAAATCCTGCATGGTACAGAATAAAACAAGAGTGACAACAAACATCTACTTTGTGTTATACTGTATGTAAAAGTTGAGCTTACTTTCTATGTGACAAAGTTTTCTTTCATCTGTTGCTTTGCTAATGTGACTGAAACTGGCTTAACTCCCAAAAAACCTTCAAATTATACAAATATAGCAATAAAAAACAAGTCATAGTGAAGGTCAGTAAAAGCAAAATGTTCCTGCATTTAACCTTTTTACACATGGCGTAACCCGTGGGAGCAACACATTCTAGCTCTTACGCCACCCTGCCTATCTGGTACTTCAATGATACAAAGTGATGAAATATCCTGAATCTTCACTTTCTGAGGAAGGATAAAGCTCACATGTGCTCAAGATCACCACCTGCTGGTGTGATAAGATGAGCACAACATTCTGTAAAGTTTTGGTTTCTCCTAACAGCTCAGTAGTCCAAAAGCAGACACTTTGGAAACCATATTGATCCTAACAAATGGATTCACAGATTAAGAGATATATTTATGCGTTTTATACAATCATTACAGCTCTACTGTTATTAAAACTCCAGTCTGACAACAAATAACATTTCAAATCCTTTTTGCACATATAACAAAACATCAGAAGTTTTATTTTAGAAAAAAAAATGTCTCAAAATGGCAGCAGGATGGTAGAAACCAAGAGACAAATATTGCAGATTCAAAAGTCTTAGGTAATTTCCTGAATTTGCTACTTCCTATATATGACATGTTGACAATTAGATTTTATGAAACTACAGCTACTGTGCTTTGAAAACAGTTTTAATCCCACCGGAGGCTTCCACTTTGTCATAACGAATACCACAAAATAGGGTAACATTACTATAAATTGTAAAGTACTGGATACATGTAGGCTTTTAAGTGTTTTCTTCAAAATAAAAACTTGAAAGGTTTAGTACACATTTTTAATAAGCTCAATGTACTCTAATATTTGTAATGCTCCTAAGCAAAAAAAGAAAAGGATAACATTAAAACTATGAAAAAGTGAAGAAGCTCGTCGCAACTTTGGATGATTTGCAGTTGAAATGTTATAACCTGTGGATAACCATCAGTCATGCATTGCAAACATCTGGCCTTTCTGGAAAGGCCAGATCTCAGCCTTTCCAGGAGAATGGCAGCCCAGTGGTTAGGGCATAGAGCTTGGAATCCTGAAGTTCTGAGTTTGAGTCCCACTCCCACAGACTGCCACTCTGGGTCTCTGAGCAAAGACCCTTAACCCCTGATTGCTCCCCGGGCGCCCCATGATGGCAGCCCACTGCTCCCCAAGGGGATGGGTTAAATGCAGAGGTACATTTCTCCAATGTCAAATCAATAAAGTTCAGTCATTATTATTATAAAATGAGTAATTCCTGAAAGAATAACAAAGGAATTCATGTTTTAAAATGCATATCGTGCACAGAAAGGGGATGCAACAGATATGTAGTAAGATGTGACCAAAACTGTCCTTTTTTTGGATGCATTCCAAAAAAAGTAAAAAAAAACACACAAAAAAAAACACTGGACTTTGTTTGCAAGATTGAAGACATTTTGCTTTGCATCCAGGAAGCTTTTTCAATTCTAATTGTGAAAAAGCTTCCTCCGGGAAGCAATACGTCTTCAAACGTGGAAACAAAGTCCAGTGGATTGTTTTGTTGTTTTTTTTTTTTTTTTCACTTTTTTTGGAATGACTGTGACCTGGATGGCTGAGATTCTTCACCAGCACTTTTGGATGCATTATTTTCAGCTAGAGAGATAAAACATGTTTCCTACTATGAAACATGGTAGAAGCAGCATCCTGCTTTGTGCTATTTACAAAGAAACAAGTAAAACGGATGGTGGATGGAGCTATATACTAAAGAGTCATGGAGGAAAACGTTTTATTTTGTACACCACTGCCTTGCTTTAACATTAAATATATAAACAGAAAAAATACATAATTTTGTTGTACATTTTGGAAAGCTGGGAGAATGAAAACTTTTAGGAGTCGACATATATTTGTGCATCAACCTGAAAGAAAGCGGGTAGTAAAACCAAGTTTTAAGGTTGGTCAAAGTTTAGTTTTATGGTTTATTTGCTTCGATGCCTTAGAAGAGATAAGATAGCGAGCTATTTTGAAGCTAATTTGAAAACTTTAATTTAATCTAATACTATTTCTAAACTCGACGGGAGTTGGCTTTTAAATCGTTATTGGGCTTGAGAAAGATGACATAGGAAATGTTGAAGAAAATAACTGTGAGATTCCTGTCAAGCTGTGACAGTTGCTAAGGAAGCTAAAGCTGAAACTGGATCTAACCTGACTGAAAATCCGGTATCTTCAGGTCTTCCTTCTCGTCTATCTTTTTCAAATACTGGTAGACAAGATCTTCTTTTTCTTGTTGTGTGGCAGCTTCATCTAAAGCGTAATCGAGCTGACTTTGGATGGGATACAATGCAGAGAGGCTGCAATGGGACGCCATGATTGCACAAAGAAAAACTACAACAACCTCGAAGACAGGCAGCGACCAATCACAGCAGCTGCTTAACCAGGAAGCCAAATAAGGGCAACGTTAAGATTGAGAAAAGTACTTTCAGTAAAAATAAATAATTCTTTACTCTGTAAAATGTATTTTATTGACGATATTAAAAATATATTACTTAGTTAATAACCACATTAATTATTAGATTATTTTTTTAATGCTTTTATAAAAACAAATTAAGAAAATTAGTGCTATTGCATATGCCGAAAGTGTGGCTATTTCCATTTCATTGCGCTTACTTAATTCATCGTCTTGCTGTGGCGGTAAGCTAACAGTTTCGGACAGTGAATCATGGTCAAATGAAATGAAAATAACTTCTAAATGTTGATTTACTTTTTTATAAAAAAATCAGTTTACTTAGCGACTGGTTTACATAACATATTTACGGGGAAATATACACAATACAAGCAAGTTTAGTGTTACTATTTCTTTTCAAGGGGAATGTTATCAAACGTTAGTTCTTGTGTAATAACCCGTGTATTGAGGTGACGCTTGCTAAGCTAGGTTCATTGCTACTCCAAATGTCACAAAAAGATGACTCCGAAAATGACATTTGGGAATATAAACCTCTCGAGAAGAAAAGAAAAAACAACACATCGATGTGCATTTCAAGAAGAAGATGCCCTTCAAGGAAAACGTCAAAGAAGGACATTTGTCCCTCTGTCAGGTCACAAGAGAAGAACACCAAAAACAAATCAGCTAAAGGTGAAAATTCATCTCCTGCTGCAAACATCCTTTCATTATCAGAGGAGTCTCCTGCTACAGAGATAACCAGTCCAAAGGAGAAGTCAACATCCGAGGACTACTGTCCCATCTGTCAGATGCCTTTCTGTGTTTTGGTTGTACAGTCCCAGAGATGGCATGTTGCTGAATGCCTCGACACCCCCAGAGACAAATGCAAAGGTAATTCCTATCAATAAAGTACCATGAAAAGGTATCCACATCCAGCTAACTACACATTTTAACATGCTGCAACCACAGACCAATGTATTGGGATTTTGCTCAACAGACTAGCATGTAGTAGAACATAGTTATCAAGTTTCATTGTTTGGCTATGACACCATCCTGGAGAGAAATATCAGCTGTGCTGCTTCCATCAACACCCTTGTTTATAAATGCTGGAGATCAGCCTGTTTTCCAGTGTAGTTCTGTTTCTCTGACCGTGACTGGCTGGATGTGCTCTCTTCATCCTCTAACATGGGAGCTGGTTCTGAGCTCGTCTGCCTGGCTGTGTGTTTCCTGGACAGCTGCTTTTTGTATCTCTGCTTCCGTCACCTTGAACCCCAGTCAGCCTCGGCAGATGGCCGCTCACACTGAGCCTGGTTTTGCTGGAGGTTTCTTCTTGTTAAAAGGGAGTTTTTCCTCTCCACTGTCGCTACAAGCATGCTGAATGTGTTGTGATTTGGCGCTATATAAATAAACTGAATTGAATTTAAGTTTTGCAAATATTATCCATATTTTTATTTATTTGCATATTGTAGTAAAAAGTGTATTTCTATATACCACATAATATATACTTTGCAATAATATTTGCAATCTTCTGAGGATGTCTTTGCCTTGTTTGCAGCCTTTTATCCATTCTTCTTTGCTAATCAGCCCAAGCTGAGTGAGATTGAATGAAGGGCATCTGTAAACAGCAATGGTCAATTCTTGCCAGAGATACTTAATTGGATTTACATTTAGGCTTTGACTAGGCCATCGACACACAGCTATATGGTTGTATGTTTTTGTTTTTCCTGCTGGAAGGTAAAACCTACTCTTTAGTCTGAAGGATTTGTTTATTTTTTAGCGTCTAACAGGTTTTCTTCCATTATTGCCCGGTTTTAGCTCCATGCATCTTACCGTCAAATCTGACCAGCTTCCTGCATCTAAATAAAAAAAACAAAAAAAAAAAAAACATCCACATATAATGATTCTGCCACCACCTTGTTTCTCTCAGGATCTGATGTGATCAGTTTTCTGTCATAGAATTTTACACACTGGCCTTGCTCTCATTTGACCAGAGCACCATTTTCCAAATGATTGCTGTTTAATTATAAACAGTAATTCTTATGACTTTCCACCATGAATGGCTTGTCGTTTGCCACTTTTTGCAACAGGGTGGATGGCCAGTGGCTCCTTATTCTCCCACCTTAGATCAGGAGCTTAGCTGTTGTGTTACAATCCCTCTAAGCTTTGGGTTTTGTTTTACAGCCTAACTCTGAATTCATTATTCAACAAACAGCTTTTTCCTTGGTGTCTCTGCTGTGTTCTCCGATCTTTTTTATGCTCTGTATTCGCCAATGTTTTCAAAAGAGCCTTTGAAGATACCTTCACCAAACGGCTTTATTTATCCTGCAAATATAAATAAGCAATGGTAACCTCCGTATGATATATTTTTCATCACTACTACTTTGTGTTGTACTGTGACTAAAATTTTACAAAATATTAATATCTTTATATCCCTATAGCAGGAAAAAAATAACAATAATTGAACTTTATTGATCTCACACTGGAGAAATATAACTCTGCATTTAATCCATGCCCTTGGGGAGCATTGGGCTGCGATTGTGTGGCCCCGGGGTGCAATCAGAGGTTAAAGGTCTGCTCAGGAACCCAGAGTTGAGGCTGTGGGGATCGAACCAGGTTTTGCAATGTTCTCAGAGCACAAGCGCACTGCTCTAACCCAGTGGGCCAAAACTCCCCTAAAAATGTCTTCAAAAGGAGAAAACACTGTTTTTGAGAAGTTGCTAGTTCATTGAAATCTAACTAAAGCCTTTGAGAGTGTCATTAGGGCTTTTTATGGAGGTAACCTTGGAACATCAAAAGTTCAGAGGTCACTGAAAGGTGTTGAATCAAAACAACTTTATTGGCACTCATGGTTTTTTTTAGTGTCTTTCAGAGAGATAAAATAAGCAGAGAGAAAAGGGGAGGATGGGCAGCAAAGGGTCTTGACTCTGCATATAGTAAAATGCTTTACCCCTACATCAAACGCCCCCAGAGCAGCGAAAATTTTCTCTGATAATGTTGGTTTTTTTTCTACGCTTGATGTAATTGTGTTGGACAGATGACTTTGGCTTGTTGGGTTTACTGTGTTTGCCCTTCTGAGCTCCTTTATTGTTTATTATCGAACACAAAGCGCTTGCTCAGGATAAAAGATTGCTGCAAAGTTAATGCAATGCAATCAACCGGACGTCCTCTGAGAGATAACATTTTACAGGACTTCTATGAAGCCTTGACAGAATGATGAATAAACTCAGCTGAATCATTTCCTTAAAAATTATCAAATTATGTATAGATTTTTTAAAATAGGAAAAGAATAAAAGGAATTAAAAGTCATAATTTGGATATACATGATTTCATTCACCTTTGAAGCTCAAGTTTTAATCCTTCGAGGCAGGATGCACACCGGACAGGTTACTATGGGAACACAGAGACACATAAGGCGATGGTTAAATCCTCCCTCTATTATAACAAAAACATGCCCTTTTTCTCGAAGAGGACATCTAAGGTTTTTCAGATACAAAAGAAAAACCATTTCCACTCTGCCAAGTCTGAACTCTGTATGATCATCATGCTGTTTCATGAGATACAAAAGCATCCTCAAACAAATAATAAAGAATTTGCCTAAAATATTTATAAATATGATCAAGCCCAGAATCTTGAAACTAAAACTATTTTGGAATTTTGGTTTTTAACAAGCAGTTACTGAATTGAATTTTTGGTTAAATTGTAGCTGAATGAAATAAATGGACAGGGAGAATCATAGTAGGAAAATGCGCACATTGTGATTTTTATTTTCATCTATGGCAGGGACAATTTCAGCTAAAATTAAACTGCTTTGTTTTATTATTTGTCATTGGGATGAAACCATGGATCCTGAAATAGCAAAGTTTACTAGATGTTTTGTTTAAGCAGCTCTTTATAGATTGTAAGATATTGTTTCCATTAAAAAGTGATTTGAGTTATATGTAGAATTGGAATAAGTGATTTTTTTTATTTAATTAGATGTGAATTTAACCTGTTTTTTTGAGTTAACACTCTTTAATTTAACTTAGTCTAGGGCTGGCCTGCAGTTAACGATTATTTTGCAAATTGATTAATCTGTTGATATTTTTTTTCATTAATAATCGGATAGCCAAAGGTTGCTTTAAGAAAATCTTTTAAGAAAATAAACCAGTTGAAACTAAGACTTTACCACTTGAGTTCTGGATAGTGCATATTCACAGACATAGAAGTTGTTTTTTATCTTAAATGGATATTCTTTCGCAATTTTTGTATAACTTCTGCTCTAAATGGGTTGCTCTGTCAGCTACAGGCATGTTTTAGAGTCAATACTTACGTTAAGGATTAATTGATTACTAAATTAGTTGATGATGATTTCAATAAGTACAGCGTTGTGCTTCTGAAAAGTTTGAAGATTTTTAAATGCAACTCTGTTTCTCCCGCAATAAGAAATGACTAAACTCTGTATTGAATTAAGACTAGGTGGTTTGTTTGGTTTGCAAATCCAAAAATTAAAAACGATAAATGGAGATTTGTGTTATTAATTAGCTTAAATGATTGTATTTGATTAATTTAGTTTCCTGACCTGCTGATTCAGGCATCATAAAATTTAGTTGGTCAGGTTTGTCATACAAAACCATTGCTGCATAATGAGTTTCATTTGAAATTTTTGACATTTTTTATTCAGTCGTTTAAACTTGACAGATAAAGAGAAAAAATATTTACACACATAGTCTGAAATGGAATTGGCAGATGCAAAAGCTTGTTTTGCCTATCCCTGTATATTTACAAAACAAAACAGAGAAGCAGCCAATGTTTTATACATGCAGTTATACATTTTAGTTTTTTTAGTTCATCACAAAAACAGATGTTTGTATTTCCTTACTAAATGGCTTACAAAATCAAATCTCTAATGACAAAAATTACGAAAAATGGTCATAAAACCTTAAATTCTGCCCTAACAACCCATCTATGACAAGTGGATTTCTCCACTTATCTTATCTCTTGTTTCCTCTGTCCAGAATGTCCAGACGGTCTTCAATGTTCCTCCACCATTCCAAACCATTACAAGAGGTTCAACCACACGCTTCTTGCCGAAAGCCGTGCACACGGCGGTGCCGCAGCCCAAAGTCTGTTCTGGCAAACAGAGATCAGTGATGGAGAGCACATCGGTTGTCTCAAAGAAATGAAAAAGGAGGGTACTGACTTTCCAGTCGATCCTTCCCAAGGGACGGTTCCTATTTCTTCTTCCTTTTCTAGTCAGGGGGCCTCTCCCGGACAGAATTCCACTATTGCTCCTCATTCAAAACCTACAAATGGCCTTTTATTGCTTCGTTCTCCTGCGCCAGATGACTTAAAGAAAAAGAAAGGCTGGTTAAGTAATAGTAAAGGATTAAAGTCAGGAGGAAAAACTGAGATTTTATCCACTCCAGTCAAAGAAACAGCAGCTCAAACTTTTGAAAATTCAAGCAAACAACCAAGTTCTCTCAGAGATGATGATGATGATGGGATTTCCTACTCTCCACTGTCTGAGCTCCCTGCTGAAACTGAAGTTAATAAAAACTGCAGAAAATCTCTTTTTGTTGATAAAGAGTCTGATAATGAACATTCAGTGATACTTTTCAACGACAGCTTCTCAAGCGAGGATGAAATACTGTCTGCATTTTTAGAAAATAACCGGGATGAGCATTCAATGTTGTTAAATGATCCCCCCTCCTTGGCTCAGCTGGATCCAGTTTCTTCATTAGTGCCTGCTAATCATGCTGCCCCAGCCAGGGCTGATCCAGAACCTTGTAGAATCAGCAGCAGTAGCTTTCAGTCTCCACAGAGTATTGTTTTAGAGCATCTAAGAGAAACTCTCCTTAGCTCAGAGGGTTGCTGTAGTCAGAAAACCAGCTCTCCTCACGAATCTTCATCACAGGACTCAAACAATCAAAGCATGCCTCCTACAAAAGGCCAGGGCAGAGCGGGCCAAGCCTCTGGTCTGAAGCAGACTGACATTGGAGTGTTTTTTGGCCTCAAACCGCTCAAAGAAAAACAGACGGAGAGTGGACAGGACAACCTGGACTCATCTGCTGCTCTAGCATCAGGTAAGAACCCAGTAAGGAGGAGACAGAGGAGAGACGGACAGGGGAAAGGCATTTCTGACCCGGCAGCAGAAGAAGCACACACCCCGGCACTTGGAAATGAATCCACCTCAGAGGGCGGTCGGAGCCAAGCAGGCAGAGGCTGGAGAAGAAGGTGGAACAGAGTCAATGCTGATGGAGAAGTCCAGCTGCCCCGCTGTCCGTTCTATAAGAAGATTCCAGGTCAGTAAGCAAACATACAAACATACATCTCAATGCATTTTTAATATCACTGGAAGAAAAAGATGACAGAGTAAAAATATAGATCCATTCCTGAAAGTGATTTATTAAGTTTTAACTCTACAGTTTAGCAGAATTAGATAAGGCAAGTTTTATTAAAATGAAAAAAAAAA